ACAGGTTCAATGGCACATACCTGTAAGTCCAGCAATTTGGGAAAATTCATTTAAGCCCAGAAATGTAGATCCAGCCTGGGCAACCATAGAAGAATTCTTTAAAAATGGAAAATAAATAATCTAGGATATCTTCTATCCAAGTAAGAAATTGCTACACAGAAAAAAGTTTTATCGCCCAGTCTCCTTTTCTAGATCAAATGAAGGCAAGCCTTTGGCACTTTTACTTACCTTTTCTGTGAGTATAAACAAGATAGTTTGTCCAATTTGCCTGGAACCTAACAGATGCTTAAGAGCGTTTTGCTATGAGCTTGGGAACCCCCTAGGGAGACAGGGTTGATGCCATTTTCCTCTTAGTGCACATAGATTCAAACACAGTACCTGACATCTGGTTAGCATTATTCTTGCCTTCCCTATATACAGAGAACCTTCTACAGAGTGTGACATCTGATTTGATTCCAAGGGCATGCCATTTTTGTCATTGACCTCTTTTACATGATCATTTACTGATGTTTATCAAATGGTCTGCCTCATTCTTGTTTGCAGAAAACAACTCCTCACACACCACTCCTTAGCTACTCATAAATAAATCTTCCTGTATATTTTCTTGCCTCATTAGCCCACTTACTTTCAGATAGTGACTAATTGAGTTATCTTTCTGCACCCCTTATTTCCGGGTGAGATATCATTTTTTTTAATGAAACTCTAACTTCGCATCTGAAAAGCTGATCTCTCTCTCTCTCTCTCTCTCTCCTCTCTCTCTCTCTCTCTCTCTCTCTCTCTCTCTCTCTCTCTCCTCTCTCCCTCCCTCCCTCCTCCCTCCCTCCCCTCCCTCCCTCCCCTCCCCCTCCCTCCCTCCCCTCCCTCCTCTCTCTCTCTCTCTCTCTCTCCTCTCTCTCTCTCTCTCTCTCCTCTCTCTCTCACACACACACACACACACACACACACACCCCTCAGCTCTACTCTTGGCTTAGTTTCCCTCATGATGTTCTCTCTCTTCTCTCTTCTCTGATGTCCTCGCCTCTCTTGCAGACAGCCCTGGCCATAACCAGGCTGCTTGCCGTGTTCGGTCTACTTTCTCTCTCTGCTCTGGACTCTTCCAGATGCCTCTGGCTGTCTTTCTTATATCTGCAATAAAAACCTTCCCCTTTACCATATCAAGGAGCAGTCATGTCATCAGTTTATACTCTTTAATCCACCGATAATTAAGAAAACGCCTTAGAGGCTTGCCTATAGCCCAAGCGTATAAAGGCATTTTCTTAATTGAGGTCCCCTCCTCTCAGATGACTCTAGCCCATGTCAAGGGGGCATAAAATTAGCCAGTGCATTGGGGATCAGAGAAATTCAGTAATTTCTGTGACAGAACATGGCTAAAAATAGAGGGAAGTATCTCAACTCATAGCTGTCTGATTCTAAAGCCCAGGTGTGGTGATAAATTGTGTCCCCCAATATATTGTGCACCCTAATAAAACTTATCTGGGATCAGAGAATAGAATAGCCACTAGATTAGACATAGAGGCCAGACAGTGGTGGCACATACCCTTAATCCTAGCATTCCGGAGGCAGAGATCCATATGGATCTCTGTGAGTTCAAGGCCCCACTGGAAACAGAGTCAGACATAGAGGCCAGACAGTGGTGGCACACACCTTTAATCCTAGAACTTAAGATCTCATGTCTTGCTTGGGAAAGGCACGGCTTTAATCCCAGAAAGGTATATAAGGCATGAGGACCAGGAACTGGAGGCTTTTAAGTTTAGAAGCTTTTTAGTGGCAGTTCAAGACCCTCAGGGGTGAGGAAATCAGAGGCTTTCAGTCTGAGGATTTGTGGAAACAGGATCGGATGAGGAATTGTCGAGGTGAGGTTGGCTGTGGCTTGTTCTGCTCCTCTGATCTTTCAGAATTTACCATAATATCTGGCTCCAGGTTTTTTATTAATAAGACCATTTAGCAATTTGTCTTATACCCAGGTTCTTTCCCAAGAAACCAGTTACTTTCTGTTGTATGATATTTTGTTTGTGTTCTGACAAATAAAGCTAAAATATCAGAGAATCAGAGCAGGCAGCCACCAGAAACTTCTTACTTCTAGGAATCCTTAAACCGAATGGGGAGTGGGGGCGACCCTGTCTCTATGAATCCTCAGACTGAATGGGGTGCCAAGATCCTGTCTCCACCTCCCTAGTGCTGAGATTAAAGGTGTGATCCACCACCGCCTGGCTCTGGTTCTCTTTTAGACTGATTCAATCTCGTATAGCACAGGGTGGCTTTGAACTCCTGATCTTCCTGCTTTCCCCCTACCAAGTACTGGGATTAATGGTGTGTGCCACCACTGCCTGGCCTCTATAGTTAACTAGTGGCTAGCTCTGCCCTCTGATCTCCAGGCAAGCTTTATTTGTCAGAACACAAACAAAATATACAACTCTCTTTTATGTACCTATCCAAGAAGAAGGTAGTAATTTGAAGGCCTCAGTGGTTCAAGTTGCTTTGAAAGTTAGACTTCAAAGACCATACAAATAAATTAAAATATACAAAAAGTATGCATAGAATAATTGTTTTCATAGAGGTCTAAATGCGCGATAATGAACAGTAATCTCTTTTGAAGCCATAAAAGAAACAATTATACTTAGATCTAGAAAGAACTACTGATATATAAAACCCTGCTGGTACATTCCCAAGTCCCATTTGTGTCAATATTCCTAAAATTCCCAGGTGCTATAAGCACAAATGATTACGATAAAAATTTCCTGTACTAGTTGAGTGTCAACTTGAAGTCTTCAAGAAGTATTTCCTCCATGTCAGCACTCTGAAGTTTATAGTCCAAAGAGAGCCAAAACTACATATCAAATTGTCAACAGAACTTGGCAAATAATGTGTCAGTTCCCCACATGGTACTGGTTTTGTGGGCATGAAGAGATTGTGGAGTGCAGTAGAGGCACCTTTATAGGATTATGGGTAGGAGACTAGTGACAATGCCTTGAAGAACAGAAAGGCAATGTCTTAGTTAGGGTTTCTATTGCTATGAAGAAACACCACGACCATGACAACTCTTATAAAGAAAACATTTAATTAAGGTGGCAGTTTAGTTTCAGAGGTTTAGTCCATTATCATTATGGTGGGGAGCATGGGGGCTGGGAATATGGTAGTGTGCAGGCACACATGATACTGGAGAGGTAGCTGAGATTTCTCCATCTTGTGCAGGCAACAGGAATTGGCCTGAGACACTGGGTGGTATCTTGAGCATATATGAGACCTCAAAGCCTGCCTCCACAGTGACACATTTCCTCCAACAAGGCCACACCTACTCTAACAAAGCCACATCTCCTAATAGATCCACTCCCTTGGGGGCCATTATCTTTCAAACCACCACAGGCAGAAAGAGAATTTCTGTTTATGGGATATTAGGGAACCCCAAGGAAATAACACTACAGAGATTCTTGGTACAGAGCAGGACTGGACTCCCTGTACAAGGGCTCCAACTTGGGCAGAACCACCCACTCCACCTTTTCACCCTTTGTCCCTTCCACTCACCATCCCACCCCCAAAAGCTTCACAGAAGTGCCTGGAATTCCTGGATCTTCACCAGAAGAGGAAGGGTCCTCCAATAGTAGCTAACATTGACTATCCTACACTTCAATAGGATGGAAGAAGATGATGATTTGAGATGCTACCATCTGAGCCAACCCTCCCCAAAATACAAACCACACAAAAGACACATCATGAAAGTTGACACTCTTTATTGTTCGTTAGTAGCAGCAAAAGAAAGAGAGAATCTGAAAAGGTAGAATGTGGTTAATGCAGAATAATTCAAGGAACTAAGTGACTGCTTTAGTTCAGACTGGCAACAAAGCTAAACCCCCCACCCCTGGCTCCTTCCTGGTAGTTTATCTCACTTGGCATGAGAGCATGTAAATGAATGGTTTGTTTACTCAAATTCACTTATGAAAGTCTCTAAATAACTGTTTCATGAAATATATCAAATTTATCATATAGAATTTAACATTACAATCTCCAACACTCTTAAGCTAGCCCATCATCCTAGTGAAGAATGAAATTCTAACAAAACTAGTTTGTTCTTGAGTGACCCCATACTGTGTGCCAGTAATCTTTTCTTCTCTTACATTTAACTTGTCTTTGCTTTAGCTAGTGGGAGTCTCACTGAACTACAGGGCCCATGAGAATTAAGATGTTTCTTTCGGCTCTTGGGTGGTATTATAATTGAGCAAGTTCAGCTTCCTCAGCAACAAGCAAATTTGTGGAGATGTGATATCTAAACACTGCTTTAACCTATAAACTTTAGAAAAAAAAACAAAAGAAAAACAGTATTTTCAAGAAAGAGTTCTATTTCCAAAATTCAATGCAGATTATAATTTTGAGTGTTCCTAGTCAATATGTGGTATTTTCAGGAAAAGAAAATTAAGAAGGAAACAGAAGTGGAGAATTAAAAAAAAAAAGATTTCATCTTCTTTACTTCAGAGTGTCATTTCATCAGGAACAGCCATCAGGAATTCACCACCTGAAAAACTGCAAAATGGAAATGCTATTAGGAAGAAATCTTGGCTTAAGGAATGCAGTATTGAAAGGGAGCCCTTCTTTGTCCAAATAAATGAAAAAATAATATACATATTTTAAATGTTATGGTTGTTATTTAAACAAAACAACACCAACCTATATAAAGCATAGACTTTCTTTTCCATACTGAACAGTATAATCAAGATAGCTTTTAATGTTAATTAAAAAAAAAAAAAACAGGCTAGGCCATGGTGGTGCATCCCTTTAATTCCAGCACTTGGGTTACAGGACAGCCAGAACTGTTACACAGAGAAACTCTGTCTCATAAATAAATAAATAAATAGATAGATAAATAAATAAATAAATAAATAAATAAATAAATAAATAAATAAATACTTTTATATATTTTTGTAGAGGACTAAAAGGTTATTTTGTCTGTAAGCACATTATTTTTGATGGGGAAGGAGTTGTTAGGAGACTGGTTTCCTTTACTTACCTTCTGCAATCAGTGTGTTTGTCCTCCATCCTCAGCTGCCATATAAGCTCTGCACTTATAGCAGACTTGGAGCAAGGAAAAATTCATAGCTTTACACCTTGGCCAGACCCCGATGCTGAGGCAGGCTGGGATTCGGGAGCTGCTCCCATTTGTGGTTTCCTATCCTTCTTCCGTAGCTGAGGCTGTTGTTTCTTTGGGCTGTCTCTCACCACTTGGCTCCAGCTCTCCCACACATGGGTTGGCTGGACCTCCTTCACACCTTTTTTGATTTGACTTCTCCTCGAGCCCAAGGGAAGCAGAGGTGTTGCCTGGGGACATTTTTCACTTTGGCTGTGGAGCTCACCTTCCTCAGGAAGATGTAGTTCCTGGAGACTCTGCAGGCTGTCTACAGTATTACTGTATGCTGCTGCTGCTGCTGCGGCGGCGGCTGCTACTGCTGCTGTTTTTTCTTCTCCTTTTTCTTCTGTACCATCTGCTGCTGCTGCTGCTGCTACTACTTCTGCTGGTACTGCACGTGTTACTTCCTTCTCTCTGTTCTCTTCTTCCTTTCCATTTTCTTCTTTTTTTTCATTATCATTTCCAGTATCCACTAAGGTAGCCCTCTCCTGGGTTCTTCGTGGACCTTGCCCTTGAATGTGGCTTCTATTGTCTCCCCTGGTATCTGTCCCCTGCGACTTCTCTGGGCGTCCCTCCTGTCTGAAGTCTCTGATGTTCCCTGGAGGAAAAGAACGCTGGATGGCTGGAGGAGCTTCAGCAGCCATGTAGCTTCTCTGGTCCCGTAGACCAGCTGGATCCTGGGAGCATGGTGCAGCAAATGGACTTGATTGATACACAGGAGGCATCTGAACTGGAACTACAACACCTTCTGTTTCCATGACTACTGGAGGTGAAAAGGGCATCACGAATGGAGATCCCATTAGGAATTGTGGATGTGGTGGGAATTGGTATGGAACTGGAACTGGCACAGAAGGTTGCATGGCCAGGGGCCAGGAACTTGTTCTTCCCGGCATGTAAAAAACATTTGTTGCAGCTGATGCCTGTGCCTCCAAATAGTGCCTGTCGTACCCACCCATTGCACCCATAACTCTTGCATGATCTGGATTCAGAGGCACCACTGAAGCACCAAGCTGCTGGGTTTGAGCTCTCGGCACCATATCTTGAACCATCGTAGCCATCTGGGCAGACCTCTCAGCATGGTACAGCCTCCTGCGCAACGCATCACATTCCCTCATGGCCTGCTGTAGGGCAGCTTGAGTGGAAAGCAATTGGGTGACTGCCTCCTCTCGCTGTTGACTCAGCTGCCACAGCTCTGAGACTGAGGCTCTGGGAGCCGAGGGGTGCTGCCCTATTGTATTTTGTGGCAACCCTACCATATAAGCCTGCTGCTCACGCTGCCTCTCACCTACTCGCACGCTCAGGGCCAAGGCACTCCAGGTGCAGGCCCTTTTGAAAGAACGTGGCACCTGAGGGTCAATCAGAATGGTGCAAAGCTGGTCTTCTATTTCATTCCAGGGTCGCATGCGGAAAGCCGTGTAGAATTCAGGCCCACCTCCATTCATGAGGATTTCATTGTTAATAAATCTAATCACTTCACTGTGGCGAAAGCCACTGGAGTGGTCCCCCAAGTCCACCGCCATGGTCAATGAGGCCTAGTCACTCTAGCATCTGACACACTTCTGTCGCTGTCAAACAACGGTCACAGATACAGGCTGTGCCATCAATCTGTTCCCCTGTTCCCACTGGCTCAGTCCTAGACTGGTCTTTGTCCAGTCTCACAAAAATCAAAGCCAATCCTCTCACCACCTCAGCCTCCCGATAGCATCGAGGACGAGGACGAGGACGAGGACAACGGCAAACGCAGTAATGGCGGCAAGGCAGCAACGCTGACAGAGCAGCACTGACGTAAGACAGAACGTCACCCTTATGAACATCACAGAGAGGGGCAGGTGCCTAGAAGGCACGCCCCCTAGAAGGCACGCCCCCTAGAAGGCACGCCCCTTGGTACAGCGCCACCTACTGGGAGCACAAGTAAGGTGGCATTTGCAGGGACAGCAATGAGCCACCAGCCAGTGGCTTGGTTAACAGAAGCTTGGGAAAGAAAACAGCCAAGATAATGGAAAGAATTCATAGCCAAGAGTTAAAGTTGAATATGAGTGCATAAGGGCTGCTCACATCTCAGCTCTGACTCTTTCGCTGTTTTATTGTGGTTTGGGTTTTGCTGTTCTGAGTCCTGTAGTGGAGAGCTTGCCCTTGATTAGATACCTCAAGGCTCTGGGTTCTATAACCAGTGTGGTAAGAATATTGAAAGCTTCTGGTCCGACACGTAGTTGATACTTGGTATGCTTTTAAATTGGGCTTGGCGACTGACATCTGCAATCCCAGCATTCTGGCGGTTTAGGCAGAAAGTACAAAGGGTTGTAGGGCAGCTTGAGCTATTTAGAGTGAAACCCTACATCAAAAACAATTCCCAGAGATAATTATAGTTAGTGAATGAAGTAAGCCGGTCTCACATAGATACGTTTTGTTGTTGTTGTTGTTGTTGTTGCTGTTGTTTAATTTTTGAGATTATAATGTAATTACATTTCTCCATTCCTCTCTCCAAAGCCTCCCACATACTGCCTCAGTCCTACTCTCTTTCAAATTCATGGCCTCTTTTTTCATTATTTATTAGAGCATGCATATATGTGTGTGTGTGTGTATATATATATATATATATATATATATATATATATATATATATTCCTAAATATAACCTGTTTGGTCCATATATTGTTACTTACATGCATGTTTTCAGATATGTATTTTTATTTTTTCTAATTTTATTGGTAGTACTTGTGTGCCTGTATGTGTGATGTGTATGAGTGGGCACACATGTCGGTCAAAAAACAAGTTGGTGGGGTTGGTTCTCTCCTTCCACCTTTACATGGGTTCTCAAGCCCAGATTCAGGCCATAGGCTTGCATGGTGAGTACCTTTATTTGGTGAGCCAGCTTTCTAGCCCCATAACAAATACGTTAATAACAATTTTTCTCTCATTTGTAGGTTCTAACTTCTATATATCCACGAGATCACATATGTACAGATGACATGAAAGTAAAAGCAAAACTGGAGAACAAAGAGAACTAATAAGAGAGGGAAAGTGAAGGGTGTAGTCAGGGGTAAAAAAGGAATACACTCCAAGTACATTATCTACTTTCATGAACATGGCCTTATGGTAACCCTGTAGAACAATAATTTCTTTAATTCACCTCCTACACTCTTTTTTAAATGCGTGTGTGTTTAGACACTTGTGGAGGTCAGGGGACAACTTGCTGCCGTCAGTTCTCTTTCTACCATGTGAATCCTGAGGGTGGAACTCAGGTCATCAGTCTTGGCAGCAACAGCTTTAACCCTAGCCAGCACTTCAGTCCCATCTTAGACTCTTTACTAAGTTACTGCTTCAATCCTTCCAAAAGGTCAGCCCCGACAGCTGCTAATTTCCTTCTTCATCCTGAGCAGACAAACTCGGAATGTCTGTCAGGAAGAATATCAAGTCACTGAGCCATGAAACCCCTGAACGCTCATTTGTTATGCCCTTCCACCAAGCCAAAGGTGGTGGTGCACAGCTGTAATCCCAACATCTGGTCCTTCCTGGACCCCTTCTCATGTGCTTCTGAGAAAAATATTTGTTTTACGTTGTCTGTTAGGCCTATTTTTAAATGGCTATTTTTAAAGCTACCATTTTTATATTAACACTTTGATCAATCTTTCTTTGCATCCTTACATGTGAAATATTAAAGTCTCTAACTATTGTAGAACTGCTTGATATACTTATAGTATATCCACTTATATATGTATTTGGAGGCTTTTCTGTTAGATTCCTATATGCTTATAATAATATATCTTCTTGATAGATTATTTTATTTCTCATAGAGCTTAATTAATTTTAGTTAGCATACAAAATAATGGGTTTCATTATAACATTTCATATGTAATAGCATTGTACTTTGTTTTAGATCCAGCTTCTTAAACTGTGGATTATATGGGATTGTGTAATCAAATTGGGGGTGAAGAAAAAGTAGACAAGAGTAAAAGTGTTTTGGATGCAATGACAAACAAAAATTAATTCAAAATTAAACTTGTAATGAATCCAAAGTGTTTCTGGAGTACTCAGCTGTGCTGCGTCTAAATACACAATATGAAAGCTGCACTGCATGTGCTGTTATGCCACAGTAACTGCTACCTGAATGACCTAGACTCATGTTTGAGACTACTTTATATTATTTCAGTGCTGTTCTTTTTTTTTAAATAAACATGCAAATTTTCTTTTCCTATAAAAATATAATGATCTAATTGTGGAAAACTAAGAATTTTAATATTTTCCTTACATCATTGCTCAACATGTATTAAATTATCATAGAATTATATTGTGTTACAATGTTTGCTTTTTTAAATTGCTGTTTGAGTTTCTGAGTTTCATAGAAATAATTACTCTTTGAATTTTGGCTTGAGATTAGGATAAAATTTCCAATAATTTTTTAAATAACCCTAAATATATTTCTGTCATTTTATACTCTATTTATGTGCAGTTGTGGTCTCAGCATTGATGGTTATAAAATAAAACTACTGATTAACTCTGAAAAATGTTGAAGATGCTCTATATTCTGCAGTATCAACTATTCAACCAAGATTTAACTCTTCATGTAAAAATAATCAAATATATGCATTTCATTACTATGTAAATTTGCTTTCACCTTTAATAAATGATCAATCTATATGTCTACCAAAGGAGTGTTTTTAAACACATTTCTTTATAATTTATTATCAGTAAATGTTTGATTTTTGTATAACTATTTTACATATCTACCCAGGTTGTGAAAAAATTGTTGAAGAAAAAAATAAGTTGGTAATGGAAAAGGTTTAAGAAATCTGGCTTTCAATTAAGCCTTTTAACATACTATAAACTCCAAAGGACTTCTTGGGAAGTCCCCCCAGTGTGGCTTTGATGGTTGCAGTCCACTAGCATATCTCTGACACTGGTTCCATGTTCTGCCTGCAGTTTTCCTTGGCAGATATTCCACATGGCCAGCATTTCTTTTTGAGAAGCCCACTTCAGCTAATGTTTCACTCTCACAGTTTCACACATAATCTCTTCGTGGTCTGCTTGCAGGGACCCTTAACTTTGCCCATATTGCCTGGCCTCCCAGGATTTCTTTTGAATTGTAGGTAGAAGCCGCTATGATCCTATAACACTGAATTTTGCATGCTTGCCAAACCACTATCACATGGATGGGGCCAAGATTATTGCCCACTTAATCACTAGCCATGCATCTTTCAACCACAGCTACAATGGCCTCTGAATGTTTAGGATGCTGAGTATGTTGAAACAAATTCTGGTGCAACAACTTCATAGGTAGCCCAGTATAACCTTGACTCATTTTAACTTCATAGTTTATTCTACATCACGTTTGCCCTATTTGTATCTATGTTTGTAGGTGGTATAGTAGTTATCTCTTTTTTATTGTTTTTATATGTGGTATGTTTGAGTATTATTATTTACTTTTCTCTGAGTGGTATTGGGGATTGAGCCCTCAAGAACAGGGTGCTCATTAAGAAGATTTATCCTGACAGACACAAATCTTAAACACAAAAGTATGAAAAGAAAAACATATGACTCCTCTTAAGATTCACAACCCTTCAAAAAGCAAATCCAAATTTATTGAAATGACTAAAATACCAGACAACGAAATCAGAAAGTTTATACTAAAAATTGATCAAAGAGAACCCAGACTCTGAATGACAAAAATCACATGTTCTCACTCATATGCAGATCAGAACTTCTAATGTTTATATTATGCAAATATGGTGGCATGAAATGGTTATGAAACTAGATAGGAGACTACTGGAGGGAAACAAGAGATAGTAAGAAAATGGAAAGAGGACAAAAGATCACCCATGGCATGAAAGCAGAGAGGAGTCTATTAGAGCTGGAAAAGCACAAGGGAAGAAAAAGGATGAGGAGGAAGAGAAACAATTAAAACCAACTTTGTTTGAAAAATGCCAGAATGAAACCTAATCCACATAAACTAATATATTTTCAATGTTAAAAAAAGATTTAAATAAATATGAAATAAAGAGGTTAGTTCAAGACATGAATTTTTAAAAAGCAACTTAGGTAAGATATTCAGCAAGGAGATACAGGTTCTAAAACAATAGAAACCTTAGAAGCCAAAGCCCAGTGAAACAAAAAACTCAGTGGAAATATCACCAACAAAATATAGGGAGATGAAAAAATGATGATCTACTGTACTGAGACAAAGAAACAAACTGCAGGGAGTGAGTGAAGTCCTGAGTGAATGTGCATTTTTTCACATCTCAAGAACCAAGGCCTCAGCCCCATGGGAGTAGAAAATCTTTCTTTGGGTCTGAGTGCATAGTTACTTTTCTATTGCTATAAGCAAAACAACATGTAAAAGAAAGCATTAACATTGGACTTGCTGTTTCAAAGAGTTAGAGTCCATGATAATAGAGCAAAGGTATGGTGGCAGGAACAGCTAAGAGCTCACATCTTGATCCACCACCATTAGGCAGAGAGGGGAACATTGGAAGCAGCAAGAATCTTTTGAACCCTCAAGCTAATCCCAGTGACACACCTCCTCCAACAAGGCCATACCTCCCAATCTTTCCCAAACAGTTCCACAAGCCAAGTATTCAAATACATGAGCCCATGGGAGCCATTCTCATTCAAACCACCACACCCATCTCATTAATCATACTGTCGTTACTTTTACTTCCTGCATCTTGGGACATGAGAGGCAAAGAAGAGTGGCTTAGCTCAGGCCTTTCCTGAGCATGTGTACAGTATAGGGCATGTGTGCGGCCCTTTCAAATATGTGCTTTACACATGGGCTTTTAAAAGCCTAGCTCCTGTAGGATGCTCCCTTGACCCTGAGAATGGTCTGAGTTGGACAGGCAAAGTAAAGGCAATTTTTTAAAAATCTTCCAGGGACCTACCATACAGACATAACAAATAACTATGATTTTCTGAAACTAAGGTCCATGTTGCTCCCTCTGTCACTTGGCAACTTATGCCAGGAGCACAGGCTGCTGGCATCGTAGATACTGTCCATTTGGTGTTGGTGAAGAGTAGTATAAGCATGCAATTTCAAACACCAGAGAGCTCATTTACTGCACTGCAGCCATTTCTTTCCTCTTTATCCACCCTCCATCCCCAATTGTGGAGTTCTTTATATGCATTCAGACTTATACAAAGACCACTTCTATTCTTACTAGCTTATTTACAGATGTGGCTAAACTGGCTGGCCAGTGAGCCCAAAAGGTCATCCTGTCTCTGCATTTTTACAAGTACTGAGTTACACACCCAGACTTTCCGTGGGGCTAGGGGTTCAAACGTAGGTACTCAAGAATGCACAGCAGGCAGGCATTTTACCTACTGAGCCATCTCTCCAGACCTGTAATTAGTTTCTTTACTTCCATCTCACCAACTAATCTTAATCCTTTGAGAGTGGAAATCGGTATTGTTTCATCTTTTTATTCTTAGCACCTAACAAGGTTCCAGTTCCATGCAGTGCTTACAAATGCCAAAGAGGTCAGCGTGAAAGTAACACAGAGGTC